GCCAGGAAAAGTGGATGAACCATGACAATGGATTCACTTAAAAAAAAGTTTGGTGCTGGCAGGAGTGGAGGTGCGGGGGGGGAAGAGAGAGTTTATTCTGGAAGGATGGGATCAAATGGGCCAAAGGATCTTCAGCTGAACTAATCTTGTGAGAGTGGTCTGGCCAGTGTAGCAGTTACTGGAGGGGACAGTGCACGGAAAAGCAAGTTAGACTAGGATTCTCTCTCCTCCTGGTACCCCGATCAAGAGAGTAACATTATTTCAATTCAAGGGTTCGATATGTGGCAATGCAAAATAAAAGCGATGCAACTTTTATATCCGCCCTCTATTGTGACTTTTCACATAGATTCATGAAGATTCCAAGTTTTAGCCTAATAGAATCTTTGCTTTTCATAAAAACGTCTTTCATGTCAGGAGGTCGTCACAAAGCACTACACGGGATTCATTGTAAAGGGGAGCGACTGTGCATTTCATTTTGCAAGCAAATGTTCCCCAGCTTTGCTTTGGGGGAGTTTTACTTTGTGCAGCAACTTCCCAGCCATTGTGTCAGCCTCAGGAATATTAAGCATATGCTACAACTCAACAGTTGGGTCACATTAAACAAAGCTGCGAGACCCCCACAAGCTGCTTGTTTCTCTTGACAAAGCCAAGAAAAAAATAACAAGGCTTGCATTTTTTTTAGTGTTTAAAAACTATTTGGAAAGTTGGGACAGTGGGGGGGTGGGGGGGGGGGGGGGGGAATTGGGGATTGGTAGAGAAAGGGAAAAGTTCATGAGATATGATATTTATTAAACAGTTTCCACTTGCCATTTGGAGAATGGGATTAACAACAATAGCTTCCTGAAGAAAGTTACCCCCATCCCGCCCTCATACCACCATTTCATTGAGGAGTTGACATGTACTTTGTATCAAGTTGATCGCAATATTCTCGCATGGGTCTTGCCAGTGCCAAATACTTTCAGTCAGTGGAATCTCTCTAGCCTTTTTCCTGTTGATTGTGCTATGTTTCTAGCTAGCTCTGGCGAAGTGAGCGAGCGATTCAGCTGACGTGATCCAGCCATCAATGAGACGGAGAAATTGGGAAGGTTTCTTGACCTATCAATGGGTGAGGATCGTAACCATTGGTATTGGCCTTCACTTGTTCCAATTGCTCATCCGGGACAAAGTGTGGAGCAAAACCCCATTGGGAACAGTTAATTAAAGGGCATTGGGAGCAAACAGGAGTGCACGGTTAGGCAGGGTGGCTAATGAGGAGAAAGAAATCAGCACAGTTTTGATGGGCCAAATGGCCTCATTCTGTGCTGCAACATTCAATGATTCTACAATTCCAATGGAGCTATTCTTTGTTTTCTGTCTTTCCCTCTAACACCACCCACCCACAAAATATAATCTCACAGTAGAGGTCTACTGCCCAGAACACCTCCAATGGGAAGATGCTCTCTCGTTCAATTCAGAAACTGCGACTCACTTCATTCAGTGAAAGCAATCTGCAGCATGTTATTTTTGCATTGGTTATATAATAGGAAATGTACATATTTTGAAAGCTGCAAAGGAAATGTATTACAGTACTTTGCTGTGAGACATTAGACAAATAACCAGCTGCTACCCCACAGATTTGTTTGGCTGAAGTTTTAAAGGCTTTTCATCCACATTTGACAATCTGCTAACTCAGTTCACTCGTAAATCAATGTATTTGCTATTGTTTGGGGATATAAGGCTAAAAACCTTGAGTCTGACAGATTCTTTTCCATGTAATTGTATGAATACCAAGGTGTCTCAGTAGCTACAGTGCTGAAACCTTGGCTTGCCAAATAACCCTACAACTTTCCCCTAAAACTGAATTAATGACAACTGACACGGTTAAAAAAAAAAGCGGCATTTTTATGTCCGTCTTCTATTCTAACTTTCCTCAGTGACTTGTAAAGATTCCAAATTTTAACCTAATACAATTCTTGCATTTGATAAAGCGCCTTTCATGTCAAGATGACATCTCAAGGCGTTACACAGGATTCACTGTAAAGTGACTTCACAGGATTCACTGTAAAGTGACTGCAGTGACTCTGGCGAATACTTACATTGATTTTCCCCCCTGCCACGGAAAATAGTTTGCATCTGCATCACAGAAGATGTTTATTTCTCCCTCCAGCATTGGCAGTCTTGCTCAACAACTGGAGAGACCCAGAGTGTTGGCAAGTCTCTGCCTTCTTGTCTGCCCATGTTGGTTTTGACACACTTATTTTAAAACAAAATGATTTCTTCACTCCTGGGGCTGGGGGCAGAAACTCTGTTGGCTTTCTTCATTGAAATCGAAAAGATGTGGGTTACATTCCCAATTCTTTTGATGTTCCTTTCCCAAGTCCAAATGTTTGTCTGTCTGTCTGTGGGACATTGCTGTCCACAACTGGCTGCCATGTTTTGCCCACAAAATACATAGTCAATCCACTTTACAGTATATCATGTGAAGCGCTTTGAGACATCTCAAAGACTTGATAAGGCGCTACTTCAAATGAAAGGATTATTATTATTAATTCTGTGTGCTGGACAGGATAGCCATATCAAATCATTGGTTTCAGCCCTGGACCTCTTCTGAGATCCCTTTTGGAGCCAGCCTTCACAGCACAATAAGGGCTGAGAGCAGTCAGCTGAGTCCACCGGGCACACAGAGACACTGGACTGATTTACACTCTTGAATCCTTTGTGGAAAATCCTTAAATGATTGGATACCCAAAGATTTATGCATCTTCTGTTACGTGCTAGCATAAAACACGTCAGAGAGAGCGAGAGAGAGAGAGAGAGAGAGAAATGGAGGGGTGGATGGGTGTGTCAAAGCTTGTTTTAAATTGCCCACCCATTATCCATAGCTAATCAGAAAGGTGAGCACTTTCTGGCACTGCTCTATAAATGTATTGATAGGAGAGGAAAACAAAGTCTCACATGTACAAAGGCACTTTGTCAGGTAAGGTCTAAGGACCTTAGTATTGATCTGTGCGTGGAGATCTGGAAAGGTATATGTAAGTCAATTACTCTCCCAGCCGTAAGTGCGAAGTTACGATTGATCCAAGTCAATATCCTTAAGAGAGTTTACTTAACCCCAATTAGATTCAACTGGGTAGGCATCCAACAGAATAAGACGGGTTGATGCTGGAGTGAGAGCACGAGAATGCTTTCAGATCTTGGTGATTCCACTTCATTGTGTGCTCCCATTCTACCTCGAAACGGTAACAGCGCGGAATGAACACATTTTTATAAATATGTATTTTTTGTGCTCATTAAGGCATCAATAAAACTGATCATTCACTTCCTGGCTGTGATTTTGTTTACTCGATGATACAAAAAGTTAACGGGGCAAGTGGATGTTATTCCCGTCATGTGCAGACGGAAGATATACAACACATAAAATTGCTGGGAGCGAGGAGTAACAAGAGGTTCAACTTTGGACCCAGGGAATGCGGTATTGAATGTTTCTTAATATTATATACATATATATGGGCGCAGGTTGCAAGAGCTAAGGCTTCAGGTCCCCAGAGTGTGTGTTATGGTACCGCTGGAGTCTTACCAACTAAAACCGCAGAGCTCGTCTCTCAATGGGAGGACAGAGGCATCAGTGGTCCTCTGTCACAGCCATTTCTGACTAGCCTCACTGTGCTATGAGCGTGCCTTCACAATAGCAGTCAAATCCGAGATATGACAGGCTTTGTGAGCCAAGTGTTTATTCCCTAATCTTCAGTCTCGGGTCTATGTGCTTTGGATGGCAGATAAAGGAATGAATGCTGAGTTCATATATGGGCTGCAAATGGAACACATTCCATTTCTGGAGATGTTGGTAGGGCTAACAATGCAACAGAACTGGTTTCATTCTCTTTTTCTATCTCACTTATCTCCGTCTTACTCTGTTTTCTGTCTGTCTTTTTCTTTGTCCCATTTTATTTCACAATCTGGTGTTAGGGCTTAAATCATTCACTCTCTCTTCGCTGTCTTTTTCTCACTAAAGTCTCTCTGATTAATAGGTTACATCCCCTCTCCCCCCCCTCCTCCGATGGTATTACCAAGTTTGGGTAAATTTAAGGTAATAATTAGCAGCCAGCTGGCAGTATGCAGTTGACCAGTTATGCCAGGTTAGGGCCTTAAAGATAATGTGGGGGGACGGGGTACACAAAGGTCGCATTGCTGCGTACCTTGGCATGAAAAAGTGGATTAAGTTTTAATAATGTGCGTTCTGTAGTCACATAGAAATAACTTATTATTTTATGGCCTCACAAATGGACTGTGTCGTCACAACTAACCACAGACTGGAGGAGTTCGCTGTCAGGTCAGCGAGGTTTACTAACGATTTTAAAACTGGACTATTTAAATATGAATTCACCCCCGAAAGCAGCTTCTTGGATTATTTTTTAAAAATTCAGACTTCTCTTTCTTTTGTAAAAATGTGGGGGGGAGGGGGGTGGCGAGGGGGGAGACAGAGAATCACTGATCAACTCTACTGCCACATCCACTACTCAGACAAAATTAATGCGATCATTTTCGGTTACCAATTATTCCGAACGGTTACAGGCTCCAAAGAAAATGAGTTATTCCAGACAACACATTGCATTTTTGGCCTGACTGTCGACTGTCTCAGTGATATACATGCTACAGACCTTGAATTGTGCATTCTGAATTTATATTTGTGATTTCCTGTTACATGCTGCTTTCCAAAAGTACAATAAAGCGTTTTATTGTAATGGAGCTGATTTCACCGAGAAAGTATTTGTGGCAAAACTGCCGCCACAAAACATTCTCGAGAGAGCTAAAGAGAGCGCGAGAGAGAGAAAGTCTTTAAAAAGTTAATTTCACCCCATTTATCAGCAACCAATAAATACAAATACACCTTCAGGATTTGACACTTTCCAACATCCAGGAATTAAACAAACACTATTCTAAGGCTTTATTGATGCTGGCTTGAGCCAGCTGCTTGAACGAAATTCACGAGACAAGTTTGCAAATTTTCACCAGAAATTTACCATTGGGAATCGTTTTTCACCAGCGCCGTGGGACCAGCACAGCAAGCGAAGGGTTTACTGTTATCTGGAATTGAAATGGTAACAGGTAATTTCTGGGCAAGATGGATTAGGAAGAGGGGGGTGGGGGGAGGAGGGGGGAGTGGAAAGAGAGGTAGAGGAAGACAAAAAAAAGTCTGCATCGTAATTGATTTTTAAAATGGCTTTTTATAGGCTAACAAGGAGATCCAGTGAAATCTCATTAACACATATTACCGCAGTGCTTAACCCCAACCCTGCAGAACAAGCCAGAGCTCCATATGATTAGTAGAAGTGCTTAAATACATTGTATTCATTAACAGGGCAACAGGCACACTCAGTGGGGAGGGATCCGAGTGCCTGTGCCTTCCTCCCTCCCTCCCTCCATCATTACTGCACCGGTGTGGTTACAGCCTGGGTTATTGTGCTTGATAATAATACAGCACTTGTGAGCTGCGATTCCCCACCAGTCCCAAAGACCACCAGCCTACTAACCATGAAGGACATCCCTTATTTTATTGCTTAACGAGAGAGAAAGGAAAAGCGGTCGTCCTCACCAATTTTCTCCCTCATGTTGCCTCGCTCATTTCCTGCGCGAGCACAGCAACGAGAGGCAGCGGCAGGCAATTCGAACGCGAAAGCCCGTAGTTAATCCAAATGGCCTGTTTGCATGCTATATCACTCTATGTGACTACATAAATTATCAGTGGTTTGTTTTCTCGGGGAGGGGGGGGGACAGGAGAAACTTAATTGACGGTGAAATGCAGCGAACTCGACTCATTCAAAGCGATGCAGAGAGTCACTGTGGGACCACAAGCCCACCGAGGCAACTTGGTGCTCGGTCCACATTCCACAAGCGTGCACATTCGATGGCCAAACCAGTGTTCATTGGATAACAAACAGAAGCAGAGTTCCTGGCTGGATTTACTATCCCCGCTCCCTGGGATAATTATAACTGCCACTTGCCTCCTCCTCCTTCTCCTCCCTCTCTCCCGACCACTACCCAAGGCGAGATCACACAGCTCAGCACAAACTGACGCTCGAACTTTGACGCTTCCTGGCTCATTGGTGTCATCACCCGCATCAAACTCGGTCCTGCTCGCCTCTTCCTGGCCCTGCGTTGGGACGCCTGGGACTTGCACCGACATGTGGATGACACTGCGGTCACATGTTCAGTGCTTTTACTGAAACATCAGATATATTTCACAGGCTCGGTCGGCCCAGCTCTGCAATCAAATTGATTGTTCTGTTGCGAGCCCCGCCCGACAGTTATCATCATCATGCAGACATAATGCGATATTAATAAACATGTGCCCCAAACACTCGTCACGGCAGAATCAACACTTTTTGCTTCCACTGTCTCCCGAGGGAACCTGTTCCATACGTTTACTGCTCACTCACTCCACATTGCTTCCCGTCTTGTGTTTGAATACAAAATGATTCTTAGCATTTCTTTTCCTAATTTAAAATACCCCAGTTATTATCCCCCTCATGGTTTAATGCACTCCCAACAAAGCTTTTTTTTATTATTAATAAGAATAATCTTTGCATTTGGTCGAGTGCTTCATCACACAGAAACAGCTCAAAGGCTCTCCAGATAATTGCTGTCAAGTGCAGTGTGTATTGTCAGCACACAACAGCCATTTTCACGAGCGAGATCCAACAAACAGCCATGAGGTCAATCAATGCGGAATTATTTTTTAATAATGACAGATAATAATCAACAGCACCTTATCGTGTGGACAAAATGTCTAAAAAGTGCTTCACAGGATTTTACTCTACAGTGTGACTGTGCTTTCGTAGGCGAACACAGCAACCAATTTGTGCACAGCAATGTTCAACAAACAGCCATGAACCGAATGACCAATTTTATTTGGGGAATTGTTGGCCAGCACTATTGGAAGACACTCACTTCTCTTTTTGAACAATGCCACAGGATCTTGTGCATCCACTTGACCAGCCAGACCAGCCCTCGGTTTAACGTCTCATCCAAAAGATGGCACCTGAGATGGTGCAGCACTCTCCCAGGCTAGATTATCATCTCAAAATCCCTCCTGTCCCAAGTGATTTAACCTACTGACTCTGAGGCTGAAAGTGATACCAACTGAAGCAGGCTGACACCTCAGACCACATTTGGTCAGAACACCATGAGAAACTCCCTTCTCTTGTCCAACTTTGGTGATGCAATGCTCCCTCGACACTGCACTGGTGAGTCAGCTTGGACTCAGAACCCTGTTTCATTCCCAGCCCGAGTTAATGATGTACATTTCATTCCGTGCTCAAAAACAGTTTCAGCAGTCACCGTCACTAAACGAGAACTGCCCTTGTGAAACGATCTTTGATGTCGGAGCATAATAGCTCCTGAAAGAACAGCACTAATACTTAATGTAACATGAAGCCAGGGCCCAGTAGAGGGGCTGTCTGCTGTCAGGAACAAACAGCTTCTCTCCTGCTCTCTGGAGCTGACATGAGCAAGGGCTGGCAGGCCAGCGGTGCTGTCACTACTCCAGCAGCCTACACCGTGATGAGTGCAACTGGTTGTTGTTTTTCTACTGACAACATAAACCGTTCAAGGCTTCAGTCTCGGCGGCTTCTAACACTGGCCAACGTGTAGCACTGGGTCAGTCGGCTCTTCCCACGCACATCCTAACCGCAATCAGATCTTACACACCCCTGGTACTGCATGGAGTCATTCACGTCTGTAGGTCTCTGCCATGATTCCTGCTGAGTTAGTTGATCTGAACCACTGCAGCACTATGGGTCACTACAATTGCCAAAGGTATGTCTTGTCAGAGGTGGGGGGTTGGTGTCTCCGATTTTAGGGAGAGGGGGCGCGGGAAAGTGACGGTTTAGTCTTAAAACCATGGATTCTTTACGCTCTCAGTCACTTACTCCCAAGAGCTTGTCAATCGCTCCAAGAGAAGCGTACTCTCTCCATCACTCCTGAGTGTCTCACTCCATTACTTCTCAGCACCATGAAAAAAAACATCAGAACCTTCTCCTCTGGTATAAAGCGTCAAAGGGACAATTCTCTGTGGATTAGGGCCATCGTTTGACAGAGCCATACTGAGCGAGCTGACACAAGGAAACTTGTGCGTAGACTTTAAAAGAAAATCTCTACATCACTTCGATAATACCTGCTCTCATTCCCGCAAGTGGGTAATGCAATGGACTGAGACTGAATGTTGGATTCCCTGTGTACGAAATCGCAGCAAACTACAACACAGGGCTGAAACGATCAAGGGGATACCACTTGTTGCACTTCAAACAATGCAGTGCTCAGCCCTACACTCCCGACTGTTCAGATGTGGTTCTACATTGTTTGTGTTATTAAATCTGCACACTTTTGTGCTCATCTGTCTTTTATGTTGTCTTTTAGCAATGCCTTCATCTTTTCTACGTGCGTCTATGTAATTTATTCCATGGGTGTGAGGAATAATTTCACCACTCATCAAGGTGATAATTCACTGCAGTCACATTTTCAAACGCGAATTCACTCAATGCTCCAATTGCAGCCCATTCGCAAAAGACAACCCAGGATTGATGCATGGAACCGACAGAGCATTGCAGCCTTGCTTCCTCCCTATACCTAAGTGGGTTAATGGAGTGAGTAGCTGAGCTATAAAAAACAAACACAAAAGATCCAGGTTCAATCCTGTGGCAAACTTGAGTTAGTTGGTGTCACACAGGACATCACTAAGGAGGCTGGCCATTGACCTGATTTAGGCAAGAGTAGGTCAACCAAGATTCCCACTCTCAATTCTAGCTATCTCTGGCAAAGTGGAGATGTCAGAGTTTCACTGATGGAGTTCATGGGCCCACCCAATGTCACTCCAGTTACACAACATTGCCCTCTAGCCCTCCACCTTTTTAACAAGGGAAAAAGACCTCTAACGGGTCAGGCGTTGGTGCTGAAATATTGATCAAGTAACCTGTAAAAAATCTAATTGGGCCTCTATAAAGTGCAATCACATACCGCTCCCACCCAGGCTCTGTGAGTTTTTCCAGACAGTAGCTGAGCCATGCAAACCACAAAGGTCCCAGTATCAATTCCTGCTCTGTGCTGAATTCGCTGATCTCAGCCAAGAGCCAAGGAATAACTTGAGGCGCTATAATTGGCATCAATGCAGGGGAAAGGGAGAAAGCAAGTCCCAATTCTGTTAATGTGCGTGTATGTGTGCATGTGTTTGTGGGCATTGTGAGAGGACAGAACCAGACTCAATTGTAGGGATTCTCCTGCTATCGGATAACCTGCCCATCTTGTCCATCATGGCTCAGGCTTGAACAATCATTTGGGCCAAGTGATGCCTTCCTTACCTCCATGAAACCAAACAGGAAGAAGGAAAAACTTAAGGGGAAAGGAGAACCACAGGTAAGATGGTGAAACAAGACACACATTCATACAGACACACAGTCTTGATACAAGCAAATTTCCAGCAAGAATCTGACAATATAAAACCTTTTCAAGCCCCAGTTTTGCTCTGTCCACTGCCACTGTCAATGTCTACTCTGTCCCAGTTGCATGCAACAGTTTTACCCATCCTGACCTATTGCACTGTGCATGTAACTGCTTTCACTTGTAATCGTTCACCACAATCGCAATGTGGCGCCTTGTCAATTACTGCAATGTATCTGCTCGGGCTGTAATTGAAAACATCAATGAAAAAAATTCACATCACAAAACAAGCAGCAGATCACTGTCACCAGGCATTTCCAGCAACTCACGGCTCTGTGCTTTACATCGCTTTCAGTACAGCGTGACACAATTGCAATCTGCTCCCAGCCTCATCAAAATGTAGTATCTGGCTATTTCCATAACTCACTACAATGTGCAAGCTGGTCTAGGGTTTGAATACTGTTTCCATATAAGGTTCATCTCTTGTCACGACACAGAAGCACTCCTGGATACACACTCCTGAATGGGGTACAAGAAAGCCCTGACTCTGTACCTCTACCCTCCAGTATGTCTTTCCACTGTCATCTCCCACTGAATTTCTCAATTAAACCAAAGGCCCATCCACCTGTCCAGGTGAACATCAAGCGTCCCTC